CTCGATATACGTGCTCAAAACGTTGTTTGTTTATTACGACGGTTCGTATTGCCAAGTTTTCTGCGGTGAGCGCGGTTCTCGGTGGTACTTTGTATTGTGGCGTGTTTAACATTACGAAAAAACAAGGTGTTTCACAACATGTTAGCGGGAGAATCTTGTAGATTCTGTAGAATGTTTCGAAAAGAAGCGGGCCTTTCAAAATAGTGAGGAATAATATGTATTGATCATCACTCGTGACAAGCTTTATGCGAACGGTACGAGTACGTCATGATCTAATCTGTGGTAGCTTCAATCAACATTATAACTTATTTGGTTTCAACTGACGGTGTAAACCACGTTTTCTACTTCAGGTGGCCAACGGCAGCGGAACTCCCCTCACTGTAGTGACAGTTCTACGCCGTGGATAGCTCTCCGGGCGTCGTGGGAGCCATCGCGGGCACTCACGTTGAGATACAAGGGCCACCGCTGCACGAGGAAGTAAGTGTTCTGTTCGTGAACCGGCACCTACTTCCATCAGCGTGCAGCTGGTGGTCAACGCGCACTCGAGGATCTTGAACGTGGTTGCCAAGTGGCCCGGAAGCATTCACGACTCGTACGTGCTGTCGCAAAGAAGTGTCAGAAAAAACTTCGCGACGGGAGCGTACGGCGGCCTCCTCATCGGCGACAGCAGCTACCCGTGCAGGACGTGGTTGATGCCGCCTTTCCGACCGCCGACCACGCCGTCTGAGTATGTGTATAACAAGACGCACGCAACAACTCGGTCCGTGGTCGAAAGGTAGGCCTTAGCTGCTTTCAGAAAAAGTTTACCCACGAGGTTTCTCGGAACTGCCTTTTCCTGAAGCGCAAAGGGCACACTGTGCGTTAAATAGACAAGGAGTAAACAAACCTTGGCATTTATGTGTGTACAATGTGCCCTAATACAGCATCCACGCTAGTTTGTAGAAAAAAATTGTTTGTAGCCAAACTGCAGACAATGGAAAACTGCAGCTGTTTGCCATTGGGTGCAGCAGTATCATGGGGTCTGGCGAAATTGCTGCTAAGTGCAATTATATCAAGCATGACAATAAGTGGAGTCGAGTGTACTTGGTTCGCTTCAGCTGTTACAATCACCCTGTTAGTTGTTGTACCACCGCGGACAATAAAAACTAAAACACCCGATCCGGCCTTTTTTGTGTCTGCGGTCCTCACAAGCCCTACTATATCTGTTGAATAGACCGAAGTACGGGACCTATGCCTCCTTTCCTAGTTCAGACCAAAGCTCTCTCATCGGCTGGCAGGTACGCCAAAAAAGCATGAAGGACCGTTTTAGCTCATATTGCACGCGATAGTATATATTTCAGCCAGGGTACTTGCCTGTTTGTATAGTGGCTTAAAGACTAAAGTAAGGTTAAGAACGTCAGTGTAAAAGGTATTACGTGGGCTTACAATTAAAAAGAAAGCACATGAAACTTCATTTCACTTTATGGCTAATGAGTATAGCATGCTGTTTACCTATCGCTTTGACCGCCTTAACCCCTGACCGCTTTAACGCGCATGGTGTGGCGCGTCCTTAGCATCTTAATATTGCTCCTTGGCCAATGAAATTTTGACTTTTGCTAGTAGGAATTAAGTACGAACCTGGAAGCGTGAAATCATTAAGCTACACCCTGCCTGAGATGAAGCACGCCGCTTCACCGCACACTTAATTATAGTTCTACCAAATTATTTTGCTGGGAGTACCTTTACCCCTTAAAAAAGCTAAAAACTCTATCTTTAATTTTGATTTCACAACGTTACTATAATATTAGTCAGGATGGGCCAAACGTAGTGCATTTCGATTTTAATTCCTCCGGTTCTTTATTTGTTTAATTATGCAGCCGGTGTTTTAGTTATCTGCAGAATAAACATGGCGCCTTTTTCATGTGCAATGGGCAGGAGTGGGGACTGAGCCACGAGTTTTGATCCCAGAATCCCTGGGTCCTACACCACTCGCTTTGGCTATACATTTTCCTGTCTATGGTGCGTCACCGACCCCCCCAAGGGCCAGCAGTAATTGAATGCGATCCAAATGGCATTTCACTTCGCGCCGTAGCTTGGACATGTTCCTATATTGGTAAATTGCGGTCGCGCTATGATTCTTCAGCACTAGAAGAGTTAACGTATCGATCACCACAAAACTGCAGCGCTGATGAACTTTAAGGCATTTTTTAAATCGACGCGCCATATCTATGGTGCACCGACGCGGCCATAACTATAGATATATAGAATTTCATAAGAACAAATCCCGTGTAATCTGCCTTGCGCCTTAACAAAAAAATAATAACCTGGGAAGTAAAAATGGCGTTTTAGAGGTTTTGACCGCCCCAAACCACTGTGGAATGACCACGTTCCTGCAGGCAACGACGAAGGGGGGGGGGGGGGGGGGGTCACTTTCAAATCGGATATTTATGTGCAGTCACTCGTAAATGATATCGGTAACTTAGATTTCCGGATCCTTCAAGATCCAGCAAGATCATTTGTTGTGCAATTAGCGTACATTATTAAAATAAAAAATGGCAGAGCCCAGCCACTTCACGTGAAGATGGAAGACCAGCGAAGCTGTTATCTTTACGACAACTTTACGACAAATTTATTGCTACATTACGACGACTAAACGACATCTATACGGTTTACATATGATTGCAATGAAGACACGTACACAACTTCATTGTTGAATTGTCTTTATTTTCGATTGAGCCAAAGTCTCTGTATCCAACATTACTGGAGTAAGCTCAGTTTCGCAGCTCTCTATTCTCGCCTGCGGAGGCGAGTGCCCCAGGTGGCGGTCACGAGAACGGGCGGCGCTGCAGTCGGATCTTACTCCCCTGTGTCGTGCGTCGTCTGCTACCACCGCGTTGAGAGCTTGGCGCCCCCTTTGTGCCCCACAAAACTATAGGCTGACGCTCCTCTTTTCCGACCTACAGATTTGGGGTGGGGTTTGTAAATCAAAGGAAAATAAAAGTTCCCCGTCTGCACCCGCGTGAGCATTGCAGACTTAAAGCCGATCGAGAAATAAATGAATCGGGCAATCGCCAAAAGTATTTTTGAGTGTAAGCCGATTTGGTAAGAAAAGGAAAATTATCTAGCTTGCCAGAGCCAGGGGAACGGGCCGGCATCAGCGGCATTTATTTATTGTCCTAATGTTGATAGTATGCGTTTTCTGTTTTTTTTTTTTTCTTCTTTTTTTTTCTTCGTTTTCGTTTTTCCTGTGGGTCCTTCCGGTCTCTGGGGCCTGGATCTGAATCTGGAAATATACTTGGAAAAGTGATTAGTTCCCCTCCCCCCCTTTGCATTAGTAAAATTAATAAGTTTATGTATTTGTCTACTTCTGTTTTCCCGTTTTCCCTCTCCCCCTTTTTTTTTTTCCATCTTCTGGGTGTGTGCGCATGTGTAGGTATTTCTATCGATGCTTGTGTATCTATACATTGTGTTTTCGTCTTTTCCTTGTTATGAAGAATTATTTATGGAGATTTGTTGTGGGTTAATGGTGTTTGTTTTCTTTGCTGTATTTTGTGGTGGTATGTAGTCTTGTGGCTCTTTTCGAGTTTTTGGTTGTCACTTTTACGTAGTTATTTTGGGGTGGTTTTGATGTTGGTTGTCTTTGGGTTTTATGTTAGAAAGGTCGTAGTTAGTTAGGGTGAGCTGTTTAGTTAATTGATTTTCTCTTTTTTTGTGTATGTAGTATTTAAGGTTAGTAATTGTTGGATTTTTTATGGTTTAAAAGGTGTGAGGTGTGTTTTATTTGTATTCTAGTGGTTGAGGTTGCGGTTGGGGTTTAGTTTTAGGGTTATCTAATTACTAGTGTTGTGCGTCTGTTGCCTATTGTATTTAGCTAGACCGCTGGGTTGATATTTAGTTGGGTATAGAGTAGTTGTTTTTCCCTTTTCTTTTTTTTTTTTTTTCTCTCTCCCCTTTTTTTTCTCTTCTTTTTAGTTTTTGTTTTATCCCCTCTCCTTTTTCTCTCATTTTTCTTTTTCTATTTTTCCTGTCTTTTAGGGTTGGGCAAGTTTCCCTTTTACCTATTGATGCCTTTTTTTTTTTTTTTTTTTGTTGCCTCACTGCCCATCGGAGGTCTCTCATCACCCCTCCCCATCTCTATTACTCTTTGTTGTTTCTTTTGCTGCCTGGTCCTTAGTAACGAGGGCGCCCCCCTCCTCCCGCCCCCGACCAGAAAGACAAACTTCTTTTTTTTTTTTTTTTTCTTCTTTTTTTCCCCTTTTCTTTCTCCCTTTTTTTCCCCTTTTCTTCCTTCCTTTTTTTTTTCTCTTTTTTTTTTTTTCCTCTTTCTAGCCTGCTCTGAGGTTCTCGCGACCCGCCCCCAGAGGGAAACTCCAGGAGCGAGTGGGCGGCCCCTGTCTCCCGGGGCGAGAACTGGGACCCACCAGGGACCCCCAGGTTTTAAGTGGGTGCCCCCCGCCGTGACCTCCTCCTTTCTCTCTTTGTTTTCATTCCGTTTCGTTCTATTTTGTTTGGGGGAGGCCCCGGAGTCTCCCCCCTAATGGGTCCCTGTCTTTTTTTTTTTTTCCACATTTCTTTCTCTTTTTTTTTTTTCTTCCTATCCTGCTTAAAGGTACTCGCGACCCACCCCCAGAGGAACACTCCAAGGATGAGTGGGCGGCTCCTGGCTCCCGGGGAGAGCCGAGGAAGCCCAACCGGGGACACCCAGGTGTCAGGTGGATGCCCCCCGCCGTGACCTTGTTTTCTCGGTACTTGTTTGTTTCTGTTCTCTTTGTGGGGGAGGCCCCGGAGTCTCCCCCCTAATTTGTCCCTGTCTGTTTTAGTCGTTTCTTTTTCCTTTTTTTTTTTTTTTTCCTTCTTCCAGACATTCTTTTTTTTTTTTTTTTCCTTCTTCCCTCCCTTCTTTCCGTGGGGGAGAGTTGGTGGGGTGCGCCCCTCACTTATTTTAGGGCCTAATGCCTTCTAAAGTTTCCGCCCTATCGGCCCGATGGGAGTCTCTATCTGGGCAGTTGGCTTTCCTTGTCTCTGGACCCTAATTTCCCCCTTTTTTTTTTTTTTCTTTGCCTACTTGTCCCAACCCTAATTTCCGAGTTTTTAGATGCTGTTGCCTATGAGTAAGGGAGTGCCAATAAGATTGTCGGGTAGGTGTCCCAAATAGTCTATGCAAGTTATAAGTATGCTTTCTCAGTTATATTTGAATTGTATTTATATTGTCTGATTTACTTGATTTATAGTTTTGACGATTTCTTCTAAAATCTTGAATGCGTCTTGATGGCTTATTATTTGTGTTTTGTTTGAATCTGTGAGGCCTGTTGGGAAATATTTTAAGAATCTGTCTCTAAGGTTTTTTGAGATTGGGCAATTTTCTAGATAGTGGTTAAAGCTTTTAGCTGTATTGCCACATGCACAGTTTTCGTCTTGTGTTTTGTTAATTTTTTTAAAGTAGAATGGAAATTTGCCATGGTTTGTTAGTAGTTGTGTTTCGTAATGGCTAGCTGGGAAGTTAGTTGGAATGTTATGTGGTGAGGGTATCCATTTGTATAGTGGGGAATTTCTATCTTTTTCGTTCCATCGGGTGTTCCAAATCTCTATTAATTTGGAGTCAATTTCTTTTTTTATGTAATTTTTGGGAATTTTAATGTTGATTGGTGTCCCAGTTTTCCTTGCTTCGTTTGCTAATTTGTCTGCGATATCATTACCTGTTATATCAGTGTGACTTTTTATATGGTATAAGTTTATTTCGTGTAGTTCCTTGATGTGTTTTATTGCTTTTTTTATTTTATAGACTATTGGGTTAGTATTGTGTGCGTTCGCAATGGCCTGAAGGGATGATTGGCTGTCGGAGAATAGTGCGAATTTTGTTTTTTCGGGGTAGGTCGTAATTTTTGTTAATGCTGCTTTTATTGCTATTAGTTCTGCTTCAAATATTGTTGAGTGGGGCGGTAGTTTGATTTTTTCTAAGTGTTGTATTTTTTCTCGTTCGTCTAATATTATGTATGCAGCTCCTATTGTTTTCCCCGATACTGACCCGTCTGTATAGATTTGTAGTGTTTGGGTTAACTCTATTTGTTTTATGTTTTCGATCGGTTTAAAGGGGAAGGAGATGGTGTCTGCCGGATGAATTTTCCATATGTCTAATGAGTGTTGAATGGTTGTGTGTAGGTATTCTTTGTTATCGAAACTGTAGTTTTTTTTGTTTTGAAAAATTTCGAAGGTGGCTATTTCTTTCTTTAGTATTAAGTCTAGTGGTTTTAGATTTGTTAATATGTTTAAGCTTGAATTACTGACTGTTTTGTAAGCTTTTGATATTTTTAACATTGGGATTCTTTGTATTGACTTTAGTTTTCTAAGTAGGTGTGAATTGTTTCTCTCTTTCCAATAGAATGGTGCCGCATATGTGATTGATCTTTCAATAGATCTTACGTAGATTTCTCTAAATTGAGTTTGGTTAATTCCCCATTTGATTCCTGAGAAGGCGGCTAATCTTATGGTGTTTTGATATGTTTTTGCTTTGAGGTAGTTTAGATGAGGTATAAATGATAGGTTTCGGTCAATGATTATTCCTAGAATTTTTATTTCTTCGGTGTGTTTGAGGTTTTGCCCTCCAAGTTTGATTAGGGGTGGCCTTTTTTTATAGTTGTTTCCGATGGTTGTGTACAACGATTTGGTTTTATTGAATTTGACTCCATATGTTTTGCTCCAATTGTTTATTTTCTCTAATGCTGAATTGGCTCTTTGCTCTATCTGTGCCCTGGTTTTCCCGTTAATTACGAGTGTAATGTCGTCTGCAAATGCTTGTATATGTGTTCCTTCTGGGAAACTTTCTTCTAGTAGATTTGTTATAAAGACGTTCCAAATGAGAGGGCTTAATGGTGATCCTTGAGGGCTGCCTATTGGTGCTGTTATTTCTATATTACCTGATTGGAGGTTGTAAGTTATTTTTCTTTCTTCGAGTATTTCTTTTAGTAATATATAGAGATTTCGTGGGAGGGATTGATCTTTTAGTTTTTTTAATACGTGCGGGATCCAGACTGTATTGAAAGCGTTTGTTATATCTAATGATATGATTATACTTTTTTCATTGTTGCTTTTGTTGTTTTCGATTATTTCTTTTATCTTTAGTAGTGCTTTAGTGGCTGATGTTCTGTGAGTAAATCCGTATTGCTTGGGGTTGAGAAGTTTGTTGGTATAGAGGAAGTAGTATATTCTATTATTAAGTAGTTTTTCTAAGATTTTTCCGATTGTTGAGTTTATGCATATTGGGCGATATGTTGAAACTTCGTCTTCTGGTTTGGATTGTTTAGGAATTAAAATTGTTTTGCTTTCCTTCCAGTTTTTGGGATAGTATCCGTATTCGAGACATCCATTGAATATTTTAATTAGTAGTTGTGGGTGTGCAGCGAATAATGCTTTTACAATTGTGGGAGTTAAGTTATCTGGTCCGGGTGTCTTCTTAGTTGGGGTATTTTTAATGATGTGTTCTATTTCTGAGTGTGTAAAGGATTTGTCGTCTTCGGTTTGGGGGGCTTGTTCTGTATATATTTTAGTATCTCTTTGTTGTTTTGTATATTGTTCTGGTTGGTCTTTTGGAAAGTGGCTATTAATTATGGTTTCAATTGATTCCTTGAGGGTAGTTGATTTAGTTCCGTCAGCTTTTTTTTATAGGGGGGATTATTATAGGTCTCTTTATTTTGTTAAGTGCTATTTTATATGGAATGTCAAATAGATTCTTTTTGGTGGCTTCTGTGCAGAAGTTTTGCCAAGATTCTGTTTTCGCTTTCTTTATGTTGTTTTTATATGTTTTCTGGGCTTCCACATATAATCTTTTGTAATTTTCTTTTAGTTGGTTTTGACATTTCTGATATCGTCGTCGATGTGCTCTCACTCTTTTCCTTTCGGTGTCTAATTCTGGGGTCCACCAGGGGTTTTGTCCTGTTGATTCTTTAATTTTCTTGGAGTGTTTTTTGTACATTTGTTCTAATCTCTTTAGTGTCTCATTTATGATTTCTTCGAGGTTTTCTTTGTTTTTTATATGTTTCCCGTTGATTTTGCTTAGTGTTCTGTCTGTTCTTATTGATTCTATTAGCCCTATTTCGCCTTTTTTGGTAAGCTTTTTGACTGTTTTGGATATTGATTTAAATATATCTATGTTTATGTAGTTGTGGTCGCTTGCTGTAATTTCATCTAGGACTTCCCAGTTGTTTATTTTTTGTATTAAATTATGTGTTGAGAGTGTTAAGTCGATCCAGCTGTTTCCATTTGCCGATGTGAATGTGGGTGGTGAGTCTTGGTGGTTGAGGAGGTGTAGGTCTTTTTCTATTATGAAGTCCCCCATTTTTTCTCCTCTTTCATCGATTTTGTTTCCTCCCCATGTGGGGTTTTTTGAGTTGAAGTCTCCTACTATTAGTGTTGGTGTCGTTAGATGCTTTTCAAGAATTTGTTCAATTTGTTCGAGTGTGTAGTCTAGATTTTCTTTGGGTGCTGAATACGAGTTTATTAGTAGTAGTTTTTCCTTGCTTGTAGTGAGTGTTATAGCTATTAGATCCCTATCAACCTTTACTAGGTGTATATCAAATATTTTTTTATGTATTATTATTGCTGTTCTAGGTTTTTCCTTATTGTGGATGATTATGTCTTTTACTGAGAAACCAATGATTTTATTGTTTGAGTAGTAGGGTTCTTGTATGCATGTTATATCGGATTGGATGTGTGGTTGATTATTCTTGAGGTGTTCTGTTGCGGTATATGAATGGTTTAGGTTTATTTGGGTGATTCTAATGGATGTGTTGTTTGTTTTATGTGTGTCATATTTTTTCGCTTCAGCTGTTCCCTCTTCCATCGTGTTGTCCTCTGTTCTCTCGCCTCTCTCCCCTCTCTGACTTTTGTTCCCTTAGTATGAAGTTCTTTGTCGGATTCTTTCGACTTGTGCTTTATATGTTGGGCACATCGGGTCTGTGAATTTGTGATTAGTGTCAAATTGTGATTTGAATTTTTCGTTGCTGTTGCTGCAGGCTTTGCATTTGACTGCGATCACCTCGCATTCTTGGTGTCTGTGTTCTCCGGCGCACTCAGAGCACGTCGCTCTGTTTTGGCATAGTCTTTGTGTGTGCCCGTATGATGAGCAGTTGAGGCATCTTGAGACATATATATTCTCTCTGAAGGGACAGGAGGTCCAACCTATCAGTAGCCTTTTCCTGTTTTTTAGTTGTCTGAATGCGTTTGCAGACATTTCAATGATATGGGTGTTCGTGCCGTTGTTTGTTCTGAAAGTTCGAATTATTTTTATTTCGTCCTCTCCTGCTTCGATTTTGTTTTGGTGTATGATTGCCTTCGTGATTTCTTCTTCTGTTAGCTCTCTTTCTACTTGTGTTATGGAGATTTGGGGATTTCGTTCTTTGGGTTTTTTGTATTCTAGTTTTTCTCTGGTGTCTTTTGTTTCGTTGATTTTCCTTTCCAGTTTGTCTATGGCCTCTTTTGAGTTGGTAGTTATGGCCAGTCCTCCCCTAATCGGTTTAAGTCGGACGTCAGTCAGCCCGACGTCCGCTGGGTCGATCGATTTCTTCAGGAGGTTGCCCACTCTGATGTGGTCGTCTTTTTCTTGACTTCCCTTTGTCGTTACCAGTAGAGTATATTTCTTTTCTTGCTCATTGTCGTCTTGTTTTGGGGTTTCGTTGTTGTCATCGCTTTGCGTGCCCAGCGCCTGTGAGTACGTCTTAGTCGTCGCTTTCTCTGGCTCGTTTAGTCTTGCATTGTTTTGCAACAGGACGAGTTCTCTGAGGTGCAGGTTCTCTTGGATTATGAGTTCGGTTTTTTCGTTGATTCGGCTGAGTTCGGCTTTGATTTTGGCGTTTTCGTCCATCACCTTGATTGTTGTTCTTGTAAGTTCTCCGATGGTTTTAAGTAGCTCTTCCAAGCATGCCTGTGAGAGCTCCTGTGTTTGGGGTCTGTCTTTTTTGGTGTCTTTTGTTTTGTTTTTGTTGGCCGCGTTGCGACTAGTTTTCCTTTCATCTGGGAGGTCGTCTTCCCCCGTCTCTGGGATCTCCTCCCTCACTTCCCGTTCCAAGTAGATGCCCTCTTCCTCAGGATCGGTGTTTTCCTTGTCCTTGTGTTTTTTCTTTTCATCGTTGTCTGAGCAGTATTCTTTCGTTTTTTTGTCTTTCTTCTTCTTCTTAACGCTCTTTCTCTCGTGATATGCGTTCATGTTTGCCGGTGGTGTTGTCTCCGTGTGGTTGAGGCTTCTAGGTTCTCAGGTAAGTTTTTAGGGTGGCTAGCGGGTGGATTCGAATTGTTTCGCTTTGGTTTCCTATTAGGGATAAGTTTGGATTTGGGATACAAGGGTAGGTGGAATTCGACTGATTTGTGTGGTTCCCGCCACTCTCCCCAGGGGTCCTCAGATGTTGTCTAATACGGGATTTCTATTAGGCCGTTTTTAATCGCTTTTTTCGCCCGGCTTAGTTTCGGATCGTCCTCCCTGGGGTTTCTAAGGGGGAGGAGGTGCCCTTATTTTCCCTCTAGGGTCAATGGTTTTCGAGATATAGTGTAATTTGTGTGGCGTTTCGGTTTCGTATTGGTTTCCAATGGGTGTTGGGCTTAGCTGATCTCGAGGTTTCGGTTTCGGTTTCGATTTCGGTCTTGATTGGATATTTTGCGTAGTTCCAACTATCCTCCCCAGGTGACCTTAGTTGTTGCCGAATACGGTGTTTCTAATTAGGGCGTTTTCGATTTATTTTTCGCCCAGATTAGTATCCAGTCGTGTTCCTCCGGGATTCTAAGGGGGAGGAGGTGCTCTTATTTTCCCTCTAGGATAAGTAGTTTTCGAGATAGAAAGCAATTTATAGGGCAGTTAGGTAAGGGCAATGAAACCTGGGTCATTTGTTCACGCTCTTCGCTTTGGCTATGTCATGAATAATCCTATTTTTTCTTATGTTTCGACCGCCCCGCGCCATGTTTCTCTTAATGTCGAATGCCAACGTACAAGCATGGCTATCAAAATAAAAATCGGTTTATCGGAGAGCTGAGTCTGCTTTAGCTCTTTTTACCCTAACACAGCGCGCGAATAAATGCGGCTTTATAGTATTGCAGCCATGTTTGCGGGCGCTAACTCCGCAAGTGAATAAGCACAGGCGCCGTAAGTTTTTATAACTTTGTGTTGCATCACTTTGGCATTGATATAATCAAGAAGTAGTTGCTTCGCAAAGCTCCTATGCTCTCCTGTGTCCAATATCATTAAGGCAGGCGATGAACAAAACATGCACTTTTTTGTCTCACAGTAGTGAGACATGTTGTTTTTTTCTCAAATATTTACATACTTTCCATGCCTTGTGGAAATTCTACGCTGCACAGCACGCGAAAAGTTAAAGAAACCTCTAAGCAACTTTGCTTTTTTTCGTGCACTCCTGACTTTTTCAGCAAGTTCCATTTCACTATTTTTTTTTGCAAAAGAAGTACCTTTTTGTCAGAATGTAGAATTTCATCTACTTTGCTGTCACCTCCTGACGATGAGTGGCACAATATAAATAAGAAAGTGGTGATGCCTCCAGCTTTTCTAACATATGCCAGAAAAGGTCGCCAAATATGGGGGTACTGTCATGTGAATGCTCAACAGTTCTTTTTAATCTCTTTCACCACGCAGAAAAACCTGCGCGATGGGTGGCGCAAGCAGCCTTCTTTAAAAGACCTTATCGTTGTCAGATGACTCTTGGCTGGCATGTGTGCAAGGTCTTCAGGAGAGGCTGTGAGGGACAGCTGGCATTCCACAATGAATAACTTTCTCCATCTTGTGAACATATTCAAAGCGGTAATAAAAAAGCATGTCCTGAATGTCTGGTTTCTGATAGTCATGCTTATTGTGTTTTTCATAAGGCAAACTAACGTGCTGGAGCTTCTCAGACAGCTTTGACTCAACAGCCGATTTCAGCTCAGCTACAGTATTAGCTTTCTCACCCAAGCTCTCCTAAAACGAAACGAGGACTGAGTCGCACGTGCCAGGGCAGTTGCCTTTGATTGCAGTTATAATCGGTGTGTACAAAGACAACAGCCTGTCGATTTGGCTGAAAGGCCCGTTCACACTGTGTCATTGTTTACGTCAAGTTAAGTTACAAACTCTTACGACCACTTACGATCGCCCGTGACCATGGCAACCAGCGAAGCAACGCGAGTCGTAACGTAATGCAAGGAGTTGGGCTTGGCTCAAATTTCTTTAGAACTCTTACGACCGCTTACGTTCAACCAATCGGGACTCGCGAAAGCGAAGCTTCTGGGCATGCGCGCTACGCTCGGAAGCCCGGCGGCCTGGCGCTGCTCTCCAAAATGGCGACCGACCCCAAGGTTCCGTCGACGCCGGCGACGGTGGAAGTCTCAATTTGTAAGATTGAAGGGTATCCCTTGTTGTGGAATACCCGGACGCATGGTTATAGGGACCACGTAATGAAAACGAACGCCTGGAAAGCGATTGGGGTCGCACTGAGTAAGGTATACCGCATTTCCTTCTACTCTTTGCATGTCTGAAAATAAAGAGTTTTGGAATAAGGGCCCCAAAAGCTTGGGAAACCTAACAAAGAGAGGCTCACTACTGCGCATGCCTCGAACCCTAACCGCGCGTTGGGTTTTGGGTTGGCGTTCGCCCCTAAAGCAATATTCGAGAAATAACGTGGCGCACCTAACGGCTTGGGTTCCAGTTGCGTCGGCCTACATTACGGCGCCATGTATCGCTCGCTTCAAAAGAACTTTGTCACAACGCTGCGCTATTAGGCACGCTCAGCGGCAACGAACGGTGCAGCATGCTTTCCCTTTGCCTTACCTCGCTTAAATCACAAAGCACGAGCGGTGATCTCACCTCATTTTTTTTTTTTCAGATCGTCTTCTGAATCTTGCTGTTCCTAAGCCTAGAGGGACGCAGTAAGCGTTGACATGGCTACGTCTCACAAACTTTAGTAAATTACGAAGGGTTGGAGCTGAGCTAGTCGGTTCACATTTTTGGATGGTACCAGCTGAATTGAAATAAAAATGCACGTTCAACCGCTGGACTATGAATTGTATTGAAGCCTTCTTCTTCCTCCATTACTATCCGTATTTAGAACCTAGATGGGAGCCTTCTTCTGGCTCGATCGAGCAGAAACAATCCTAGTTAGTATATTGTACAAAAAAATAGAGTGCAGGCGAGCTGGTGTAAGTTGAACATGATTGTAAACCTGAGACTGGGGCAGAAAAGAGAACACAACAGAAGGTAGAAAAAGAGGAGGCAACGTCTCAATTTTCTGCAGCAGTGTCAGGTTTACAATCATAGTATATTGTGTTCGACTCGGTCAGCCGGATGCAGAAGCAGCTTGAGTCAAAAGTAGAAAAGATTGCAAGCATTTGTGCGCTGTTCAACGTGACATAGTAAGTGAAATTTCCCAGGTTGAAAAATGCTATTCTCTGCCGTTTCAGGACTGGACACTTTTGTTGTTTCCTCTTAGCACACCATCTCACGTGCTGAAAATTTGCGCTATGATACATGCTTGTAATTTAGCATTATGTTACAGATATGGACCTAGAGCACTGCCGGCAAACATGGCAAAAGATCCGAGAGAGGTATGTGAAGTAGGCAAGAACGAGACATGGCCGTTCCGGAGGTGGGAGGGATGAAATACGCCGACAAACTTGGGAGCTGTACCCCTTCCTGCGGTTCCTGGATAGACACATTCGTCGGAGAAAGTATTAAGAGTTTTCCGCAGTATACACATGCCTGGGTTGTTAACGTACAACATGTTCTTTTTCTACTGGGACGAAGTCACCCCATCCGAAAAGCACTTTACAGGTGCCTGCCACCACAGCTTTGCGGACCATCCAGGGAGACCGGCAAGGAACAGTGGAAACGACCAGGGGTATCTGTTTTGTGCTTTTTCTTCTTCTTGTTATGAGTTCCAGAGAAGGAAAGGGAAAGCCGGGAGAGATGGTGGCTTCCTGTACGGACGAGTCGCTATCCGGCTTGGGGAAGGGGGAGGCGCCGTAGGTGGCTGAAAGACATTGTGTGGAAATTTTGAAACCAGTCCAATAATGTGATGGGGCTTTGGCACAAGTGTAGGTTTCAATTTAACGACCTTGCTGTTTGCGGTGCGCGGTGTTTGGTAAAAGACGGTCTGCCAAACCAGTCTCACTCAAAAAGTCCAAGAGGTCTTTGTAAGCCCTCTGGGCTAGCCGACGTGGGGCTTCTGGGATAAGGAGTTCCCGAGTCGTGGAGGAAGGAAGTCCATTGAAAGTGTAGTGTTAAAACAAGGTTTTACGCCCTTCTTCGTGTTCTGTGCGTACTAGTAGCACCTGTTCAATGCCCCCTAGGGCTCCAAAGTGTAGGCAACCAGGACTATTGACCCGTAGAAGTTTGTGCTGAGTTGATCTTGTGTTTGCGCAGTTTGCCCTCAGCCGATGGAACATTGACGCTTGTTCTCTTGACAGCTTGCGGGGGATTGCTGGAGGGGGCCGTCCTTCAGCCGTCTTCGGTGTGGGTGGCGCTTCTGGTAGAAATTCCGTATAAATCACCATGCTTCGTTGTACCGGCGAAGGTAAATGGTTGGGTCTTAAGTCTATTAGCTTCAATAGCGAGGGCATCTGCTTTCTCATTTCTGGCAATTCCAGTATATGCAGGACACCACTGAAAAGCAAGTTGCCAGCCCTTTCTTTCAGCCGATTTGGCAGATGCTACAGTTGTTGCAGTCAATGGAGTGCCAGTTTCGAGGTTCCGGAGAAGATGAAGAGCAGATTTCGAATCTGTGAGGATGACTGCTCTCCCTTGCGTTCCACTTCGCATTACCAGCTCCAAACCCCGCCAAATGGCCACCAGCTCCGCAGTAGTAGAGGTTGTGGCGATGTCCAGTCCCAGATTAAGAGCCCCTAGGTATCACTGCATGACTCATACCATGCCTTTCATGCACATTTGTAGGTGAAGTATGGGCAATGTCTTATTTTGTGTCGGAATGTGCAGACCTCCTCATGGGAGCTCACATCCCCAGCTCCACACATACAGAGCTGGATGCCTTCAGTATGGCATCGGGGTATGATGTATGTGTAAAGCAACCTGTTCAAACACCAGTGTAGCAAAAGGCGTGTGCTGTTTCTAGGAAGCCACCGACGAAGATCTGCAGCCATCGGGCACATGCCAGCTACTGTTGGAGCGTGAGGAAGAAACACAGCAAGCAAGCACGTACCAACAGGGGCCTGCTGGTC